ACGCTATACGTAACTTTTATGCAGATGGTAACAGAATATTAATTAATATAATTGAATAAAATACGATATTTTAATATTGTATAATAATAAAGATTTAATTTAAATCCTTGCGCCTGAATTAACTGTCATTTTCATAAAACTTTTTAATATTAAATATTTTAATAAAATATATGAATTACACGCACGCACACAATGCACTAGATTAAAATTAAAAAAATTCTTTTTTGATAATAATTCATTACAAACTAAAATTACCTTTCTATGTTATTGGCGATATCCTCTAATTATCAGATATATATTTCTGACTCGTAAATTAGAAAATTCATTTTTAATTTTATTTAGAGAAACTCTGCGAATCAGAAAAGATAAATCGGTTTTTCAATGCCTACTGTTAACAATACTTCTTTTATTTTGTCGGTTCGCAAACGGGACAATCTGTTGCAATGCAGTTACGAAAAAAGAGAAAGAAAAAAGGAAACAGAAAGCTAGTTACACGCGTGTCGCGCATGTGATGCTCCGATATGCGATATCGCCATGAGAACGCCGGACTGTGGTCACATGTGGCGATCGCGTCGCGGCATGAGAAACTCCGGGCATGTATCTTCGACCCGCGTGTTGATACGGGTACGCACAGTTGTGCGCCAATGATTAATAGGAATCGACAGAAGCCGACATTGCGCGACGCCGACGTCGTCCGGTCGAGAAATATCGCCAATAAATTCTTCTTTGAATGCGGCTCTCCCCCCTCTCTCTCTCTCTCTTTCTCTTTCTCTCTCTCTGTTTCCTTTTTCCTTGCGAAATACCTTTTTTCTGTACGGAAAGGACGATTTTGCTGGATATAGATCTGAAAATAATTTTTGTAGGATAATCAAAATAATTTTGTTGGAAAGTCAAACTGATTGTTAGAATATCAAAATAATTTTGTTGAAAAGTTATAAAAATGATAAGCATTTTTAACTTTCCAACAAAATTATTTTCATGGTCCAATAAGAATTATTTTCAGATCTGTATCCAGCAAAATTTTTAGACTTTCCAGCTAAAATCGTTCTTTCCGTGTGTGCGCCTCTTTTTTTAACTCGTTAATAACATTTTTCCATCCTGATCTCTGGAAGCACGTGCGCTCGTTGAATGAGCTGGTGGCGCGAATATAAATAAAAAATTAGGAAATGCATTCTGGAATATTACATATCAATCGACTGTTATTAATTTGTCGTATTCGCTCGTGGCGATCGGCATAATAATCTAATTGATTATCTCAATACATGAGATAATAAAGCTAATGCGGAACATTAGCGTTAAACACTGTCGGCTTAATTCCCATTTTAATTAACAACAGACAACGTGTCTCGTCAATAGCGATTTTTTTTTATCCTTAGAAGATACAAATTTTATATAATAGAATTGAGAGTCTGTGAAACGCATCGTATTATGAAAAATATCGCGCATCAATATCAATCGTAATTCGTTTATTGCATTACCGACAACATCAATGGTGTTGTGCACAAATTAATTATTATGCACGTGTGTTAAGCGTCGCGTTCATTCCCATTAAACACGAGTGATTCTTTGGATTCGATTCTGCTTGTCAAATTGGAAATATTTTTTCTCGTTAATGACGTTTTTTGATCGTTGCCGGAAGTTGCGCGGCGTAACGAACAATCGATGTGTGTAACATGCGTGCAATGAAAAGAGTCGGAGGGGTTTGGGGAAACTCGCGCTCTCTTGTTAGGAACACAATGTGCACGTCGCTCAGCGGATGAAGCTCGGACGTTACGTGTCAATCGAACGTTATTAATTTGCGGTATTCATTACCCTCGCAGATAGATGGCGATTAGCATCATTGATAATGGCACGAATTAGTCATGCTAGCCTATTATGTCGCATTAAACATTGGTCGCTCATTTCCATCGAATGTGTGCGATAGGAGAATTAATAATTCAGATTGGTAACCGCATACTTCTCTGGTTTAGATGGTTTTCGATGAAATACGTTATCTCGGTCATTTTCTCTTCAAGCACAAATGTTCCTTTTGCGGCATAGAATGAGATATCTTAAATCTCTTAATTTAATATATATTTCAGGCAAAATATTATGTTAAAAGATATCAAATTGATACATAATTCTTAAAAAATTTAGATAATATTAAAATTT